TGAGCTATCAACCATGTTCAAGCGCATAGCGTTATAGCTGTGTTGAAACTTTTTTCTCAGATATAAGACATGACTGACAAATGACCACAGGTTGAAGTAACAAACACGTGATATTGTTTTGACATGTATTATCCTTGAAAAAAGAACTCACAAATATACGAAAGTGATTCAACAGGCCCGAGCATGACAGCTTGTTATGAATATGAAGTCATGAATTTTGATCTTAAATTTACACTCTACAATGATCGATTTATTTGATTAGGCAAAAACGGTTCAGTGCTTTGGAAAAGATTAATCTGCATAATAAATATTTATTTCGTAAAATAAAGTGTTTTCTTTTTCATGATTATGCTACGAATATATCTAGGTAACAATCTCTCTCTCTCTCTCTCTCATGTGCAATCTATCTATCTATCTATCTATCTATCTATCTATCTATCTATCTATCTACAGTCTGCGATGGGTAAATTGTCACCATATTATATTTTTAATTTCGCCGATGCGCGTTGTTTGTTTTTGATATTGTCGACTGCCTGCGAATAGAGAAAGAATTTAGTAACAATATCAAAACAGATTCGTAGGGACAGTTGGGCACCATCTGTGAGAAGAAGAACACCATAATGCAATTTCTTCCGCCCCAAATTTTGGAAACGGCGTAAAGAACTACTTGGCATTCGTGCCGGAATCTCTAATACATACATACATTTCAGAGTGTTTGGGTGTCAATCTGACGAGAGTATCTAGGATTCGGAAAGAGCTGAATGAGTCTAATAGTGATTGCGAAGACACGACAGTGCGGAAAAATCACTTTGATCGTTTTGATAAGAAAAGAACTTCCCAATTTGTTGGTTAGGGCCCCAGACTCAACACAAAGTTCTACATCAAGTGATGATGAGGTAGTGCTCTCCTGGATCAAGAGGGTGGCTGATGGGAGACCCAATGTCTGGCAACAGAACTCTGCACCATCCAACACGAGAAAGAGAAGCCAGTCATGAGTGTTAGACATCTTACATCTGGCCATCTGACTCACATATATACGATCACATCAGTTTTTACCTTCAGAATTGAGCAATAAGAACACAGTTCACCGAAATAGATTGGTCAAAAACGATTTTCAGGCTGTGAAAAATTTATTTTTTTGTAAAATAACGTCCTTTTTCAGAGAGAGAGAGAGAGAGAGAGAGAGAGAGAGAGATGTATTTGTGTGTGTGTGTAGCTGGAGAAACCGTTATTGATTGCATTAAAAATGGCTACCACCAAGCAATTTCTGCACCGCAAGCAACATTCTTAAAGAAGTTTAATAGACGAGCCAAAAGTGTTAAAAAGGAGTAATCATTTGAACAGTCTCTAAAGAAGACAATTTATAAAAGAAATCTCTTGCTCGCATCTAAGAAAAATAACCTAGAAGAATTAAGGGGAGTAACTTGTCAGCCATTTTTATTGAAACAAGTTTTAGAGAGTGATTATATTTATATATACAACAAAAAACATGCACACATTGATATATAATGTGAGATTGTTGGAAGGAAAGAATATAAAATATAAAATAAAGAAACAGTAAAACTTTCATAGTTATTTATTATTATTGTGGGATTTTTTTTTTAAATTAATAAATAAATAAATGTTGCAAAGTTTAGGCGGAGACTTTAGAAGTGTGGAATTAAAGTAGAAATTAGGAGCCTGAAACCCAATTTTAAACGGTAATTAATGGATAAACTTCTAACCTTGTTTAAAAGACAGAGGAGGAATGTAAAGCGGACGATAGGCGAACCTATCTGCTATTATTGTGGAAAGGATTTTCACTGTCGAGAAGTGCGAGAAAAGAAATTGTTGGAGTGGAAGTGACGGTTACATTTAACTATTTCTATAGTAAAAAGGTGGGACCTAAATGCCAATCTAGTAGCACGGTTTAATTCAAGTGGTCGGCGCACCAGGTAAGAGCTTGTCAGTTAATACATACTACATATATATATATATATATATATATATATATATATATATATATATATATATATGTGTGTGTGTGTGTGTGTGTGTGTGTGTGTGTGTGTGTGTGTGTGCAAGCGCGTTAAAAAAAAACAAACTAACATAATAGAAACTGTATAATGATATTCAGAAAGTAATACACACATGAACACACATATATATATATGTGTGTGTGTAACAAAAACAGGCCAATATAGTAGACTGCATATTCATATTTACAATGAAACACACACATGCACAAACTCATAAACACGCACTTTCCAATACATAGTGAAAACGCATCAACATTTTCCATTTGTTGCTTTGAAAAGCATCTCCACACACGCGCGGTCAAACCCAATCACACGCGGATGCAGACTGAAATACTCATTCGCTCTTAAATAAACTGCGATATTTCAAACCCATTTGCATCTCTCCTTACATTACCATTTTATTGTGGCTAAGGCGTTAAAACACACTTGATACACACTTGAATTTCACAGCGTATTAAGACATTCAGAAATGTATACTGACA